ACACAGAATTAAGAAATATAATATCAAAATTAAGATTCTAGAGCTGTTAGAAGCTTTTCTAATATAATAAAAAAAATCGATATGCTTTCTGAGGTTGGAAAAGTCACACAGAATTAAGAAATATAATATCAAAATTAAAATTCTAGAGCTGTTAGAAGCTTTTCTAATATAATAAAAAAATCGATATTATTTTAAACGTTCTGTGACCCACACACATAATGTTTCAGTAGGGGATCGGACCTTTGGTCCTCAAACCCCCACTTTCACATTGTGTGTAATATACTATAAAAATTTAACCAAATAAAGTTTATATGTTACACGTTAATATAAAGCAAAAATCTTAATTTCAGTCAGAAAGTCCAAGAATCTCATTTTCCTAGCAAAGAACCCATATAATTAATTAGCTTGGGCATATATGTTTAAAAATTATCAAAAGCGCATGCGTTATCAGATTAAAATAAAGCCCTATTCTCACATGGTTAGCTACTCCAACACTCAAATAAAGACTTTATGTGATACTGAAATAATCACATTGAATTAAGCATATAGCTATAACCTAACTACCCTCCACACTGCCAAGGAAAAATCCTGTGAGTGGGCTAATAGGATATTTAGTCTATTATGCTCTCTTCTTCAGAATGGTATCACTGTCTGCATTATTTATCACTCAAATAAATTCTAGTTGCCAGTAGCTCAAAGCTTGATATCTTACTTCTGGTAGAATTTCAAGAAGAGTGATATGACGTGAGGAGCCTCGTTTATATTGATTTTTTACAAATGCCACAGCCCGCTCAATAATACTTTTCAGCTCGTTTTGATTTATCCAGAGATTTTCTTTGATTTCTTGGTAAATAACAAACCCGGCGGTAATATCCTCTTCCTCAGCACTTGACAAGAAATTATAAATTTTAGTGTATAAATCGGTAGGCATAGCTAAAATAAAAGAATTTACGAGACATAAAAATATTCAATTCCAATATACTACCCAGCCGTTTTAAATCTCCATTCATGCTCTCTCCAACTCACATTCATGTTGAGGGAAGAGAAAGGAGAATATGCAAGACAGTTTACGTCAAAAGTTTGTGTTCGAGAATAAGGATATGCAGAATATACATTGAAGATCTCGACATTTAAAATAGTGTTAGGGACAATGCATATACGGACTTTTTTTCGCTTGCCTGATCGCTTAATAGTTAATACTAAGACCTGACAACATTATATAAATATATTCTGCTCAGAATCAGTGGTATCAGAGAGCCTATCCCTCTGGAGCAAAAATACATATCAGTAAATGCTATTTGGTCAAATGTTATAAGGGAAAAAATTCAAAATATTTTTAGGGATCGATTTCTTTTATGTGAAAATTAATTAGTCGTACAAGCAGTCATACAAGCAGTCATACAGAGTTACAAATGATTTGCGATGTATCACTATTACATCATATACACTTTAACGAGGATCAGAAAATATGCTAATTTATACTTTAGCACCTTAACAGCTGTCGCACATGCTTTTATGCATTGGCCTTAAGGCATTTCACATGGCTGAACAGTATATTATTTTATTAATACAATATTCAGGATCTGGGTCAAGGACTGATCTGAAAAATTCAGCACATGAACTCACTATTATCATCTAAGTCTATGAAATTCATGGTAATATCCTTCTCCGGCTTTCCGTAAATATAATATATGTATTTTAACAGCGAATCATATATAGGTTTTTCCATTTCTGATGATTTAATCTTATATGCCTCGTATTCTGAAATTCTGATAAAGTATACAAAATTATACTTTTTATGAATACTATAATATCTGGGATTCTGTAGCCATTTTAACATGTCAAGCTAATATGTATCTCTAACAACCATATAGCCTTGCTGATATAATAATTTTCTAACAAGTATGTGTGTCACAAAAGCTAATCGTTCCCATAATTGGACTCTCTTCTCATATATCCAAGTAGTAGTAAAATAAATGTTATGCTGATTTTCTACATAAAATTGGTCAATTACATAATTAGATTCTATTAGTTTTCCATTAATGAAATGATATGTTTTACCATGAGGAATCATACCTAAAAACTTCATATCGTCAGGAGTACCATCATTCCTCACCACCTTTCAAATTTGTTTTGCCAAAGATTCAGGTCTTTTCTTATAATTCCTGTAAGCTTGCTGGATAATTGTTGCATAGAAATTTTCAAAGCCATAATTATAATAGTATTTAGGAATCAAGAATCCCCAAGATCGCTTCATTGATCTTCCTGAACTTCTCAAAAAATACTTTATTAAAATAGTTATAGATTAGAGAATCTAACCCAGAATAGGTAGATCATGCATAGCGATTTTCTTCATGTATATGAAGCATTTCATGCATAGCTCCTTTGGCCAATTATACTAGGCGATCATGCATGCAGATTATATAGCGCAAAAAAACATGAATAAGTTATGAATATAGTTGAGATATTATTTAGTCAAAAGTAATAATTTATAATTAAAACATTACTCAAAATTAGTCAGTTAAATCAATTAAACAATTGTGATTTCTGTTCCATCCTTCAATCTTAATACAGTACCTTTTGGCTAATTAAGATGATTTATAGGTGGTAGTAAGTTATTTTATTTTGCATATCGAGATGAGATAAATAGTTTGTTTAGAGAAGTTAACGAGTGTATCTCATCCCTTATAGAATCCCAGTACTTAAAAGGGGTTGTAGTTTATTACAGTAAACACCTATCAGATTATTCTCCTTAAATTTATCAAAAGCTTGTTGCTTGACCCTTGCACGTCCAAGATCACTTAAAGGATCAGAACATTCTTGGTCCCAATGTTCCTGCATCATGTCTTTAGCTTCAATTAATTTAATGAATCTATACTATCCATGGTGGTATGATTTGGTTAGCTTTATTTTATTAACTTGAAATGGTTTCCAACAACGAAAGCAGATTGCCATATTGTTTTTATGGATTTTAGGACGATAATAAGAATGATATGATTCACTTTCACCAAATCCTGCAAACAAGCAGAAACTATGGTATATGCTTTTTTCATTTTGTGATAATAAATATTAGAGAATAATTTTAACTCGTAATCCTCACTGCACTAGAGACTCTTCCTTTCTCATTATCGATAATCTGTCATAGATTTTTTCATTAGCAAGAAATTTTTTGACATCCATGCTACTACAGTAATTTGCGAGATATGTTCTATAATATTCTATATCATATCCAGGACGGTTACTAATAGGCTTAGGTAACCGTCATTCTTTTTTATTAATAATCATATTAATATTAGAAGCACTTGCTAAGGTAACAACTGTCATATTTGCAAAATATACTGATTTTATTGATTTATAGTATTTTTAGCGAATTTTAGCAATTCTTTAACAACTTATACTAGATAATATCATCATTCAAATTTATACAGATTTACTAGTTAGTAATTTATAACAGTTTGTAACAACTATATTATAATAAAATATCAGATTTATTTTTATTTGATTACAAGTATACTGAGGATTTATATAGAATCACCTCTGAATTCTGGCTATATGTAGGCTAATTTTTAGGTAAAGCCAGATAATTGTTTTGATTTTATGCCTGAAGGAAAGCCCAACATATTAATAACATAAATCTACATTTGCTAGAATTACACTTTAAATGATCACACAATACTGAAGCATCAGTTTCGAGAGTTGATCAATCATCCTAGAAAACTTTCTCCATAAACTGTCATACAATCTGAAAAATCAAGGTCAGAAAAACACTACCTTTCGAAATACCAGTGGTCTCAAGACCGGTCATTCCATCCGTCAAAATGTCAGTAGTCTTTAGACCTATAACACCCATACTTTCCTCTAGTGCAAATCAATAATAATTATACTGGTGTCTCAGATGAGCAAGAGGATTAGGATTTTTTTATGAATGTAATTAGATATAAGTCATATAACAATAATGTTTCTAGACTAGCTATTATTTTTTTAGTGTTTACATTTTAGGCGTAGTAGAATACAAAGCAAATGATTTAATATTGCCTTTATAATAAAACATAAATTGCAACTTTACCAGGTGCACTAATAATATAGTTTTATTTGTTTTAATGGTGAATACAAATTAAAAAATAATTGATACATATTAAAATGGAAATTTTCACTTAAGGAAGATTTGGCGCAGTATTTTAGCTAAAAATTCGGGAAGCAAAAGGCACATAACCTACATATAATATATACAACACTAGCCTGTTCTTTGCTAAGAAATATATATTATTCCCTAACATGGTCTCTTTGGCGAATTAGTTCATGGTTTTTAGCATGATTCCTGCTACGAACACTGCATGACTTAACACATCTGTGAGTATAATATCTGTTACAATTTCTAGTAGCGGTTTTGTTTTCTTTTTCATTAGGACCAATATTGAAACTCTAAACTGCTTCAATTGTAGTATCGAACGTATTTAGTTCAGTGAAAGAAAGTGTAATATTTTTTCTTCTCTCAGTATGCTCAAGACTATAGCAATCTTCGCTATCAGTGACACATATACCGAAAACATGCACTAAATTGAATTTGGTTATCTTTTGTGAAAATTTCTCAAGAAAATATTTAATTTCATGAGAGGAAAAGTCAACTTTCTAATAAATATAAAAGAGAATAAGAATTATAAGAATTGGGCCTCTGAGGATTTATAATAAAAGGTAATTGCCTACATTATTCTTATTATCATGTCTAAATTCGTAAGGTGTATACAATCTATTTAGAGCGACCATCTAATTGAATCCTTTAATAAATGAAGTCAATTTATCAACTTCAACTAGTTGGCTGATGACTTCACGTTGAATATCAGACAATAAACTAGTTTTAAGTAAAATTTCACCTCTTCGAGCAAAAAATGTTTATGTAAAAGGGTGAGGTAAAAGATACTTTCAACTCTGTAATCTATGAAAAGTTACCCTAAGCTTTTAATCATTTCCTCAGTAACTTGATTTTTTTTGTTTCATCAGCGTCCCAAAGATCAAACAATTCATTATATCTGTCTACGGTATCAAAACTTAGTTTGGTAAGGATCATATTTAATTTAAAAATTATTATTATATTTAATTAGCTGTGTTATTTATATTAAATTTAAATCTGATTGTCTGTATATGCCAGATAGATGAAGGTAAAATATTAAATAAAATTAACGTCATATGAAATTATTGATATTTTCACGTATCCAAATGAAATCCTAAAAATGTATCCAAATTCAAATGAAATCTAATAAATGAAAAATCTTATATTATCTCATCTACTGAAACATACAGCAAATTTCTAGGCTAATTATTTTTATTAATAAGTGAACATAAAATTTATATTTGAGTATTTGTAGTATATATATTGTTAGAGATTATTTCAAATGAAGATATAAAACGGGAATCATTTAGTTATTCAATTGTTTATACGCATAGTGACGCTATCATATATTTCTCTCAAATGAAAGTATAAATCAGGAATCATTTAGTTCACTATCAAAGTTAATAATCAGCTAAATAACACATGTATAGATTTATATTTACATTTGCAAAATGCACACATTTTAAAAATCAATCAAAACATTCTTTATTGTAAAGTAATACATGAGAAAAGGCTGGCCGGCTATGCAAAAAAATGAAACTAATAAAAGATATTAGAGTAGCAGGTTGTTTCAAGGGAGGAATTTTGCCGAGCCCCAACTCATATAATGGCAATTCCTTTCCCACTACTCCGCATTATTATTAAAACTAACTATCCATGCATTTATCTGATTAATTGTGCTAAATTTACTACCACTAACACCATTATAAAAATTTTCACTGTTGAAGTTTTAATATTTCCTCCAAGACTACAAATATCAATTACTATTGAGAAGCACATCTCATCAAAAGTATAATTCCTCACCTTTATAAGTTGATCAAAGTGTTGTTTAAAGTGAATTTTAATGTCTGAAGTAATATCTAAAATTCCAGATAAATTGGAACTTCTAGAAGAAGAAGAGCTTGGAGACAAATTAGTTTCAGATTCATTGGTTAATTAACTTCAGATTTATTAGACACACTTTGTTGGTCAAAATTGGATCTTTGAACTATTGCGTAATGTTGATTTATTTCGTTTTAGAGATTTTCGATAACTACATTAATTCTGCAAAAATCATTACAACAGGCTTCTTCAATATTATTAACTTTCGTAGTTATGTTATTGACCATTGAAAAAATTTTCTGTGCCTTAGAGACGTATCCAGCATTACGTGAATTGATTTTAGCGATTTCTCTGGTAAGTTTCTTATTAAGTTCATTATTGTTTCTGACAAGCTCCGCAGTAAAAATAGAATTAACTTCAAAAAGACGTGCAGAAAGTTCATTGGCGATTTTAGTGTTAACTTCAATGCTAAGTTTTTTGTAGACATTAGTAAGGAGTCTTTCAATTTCTGCAGTAATACTTCTATCACGTGTCTTATTTTTTTCGATTTCTGTAGTAAGAACACCATTAATTTCGATCATATGTGCAGAAAGCTCATTAGCAATTTTATTATCATGTATAGGAGGGTGATTGGAGAATTGGTTTTTGATGACATAAACCAAGAAACAGGTGCTAAGAAGAATAAAAACTGTAAAGTCTTCAAAGATATACCACAAAGCGTTGTTTTGCAAGACAAGTGCAGACATATTTTTAGAATGAAGTAGAAAAAAAAATATGTTCAGGTATAGATTACAGGTAATTTTTTATGATTTATTAGTATGATTTATCGCTAATGAAGCTAAAGGTGAACCCACATCCCTTTTATACATTTAACAGTCAGTTCTACAGTAAGGATCCCAAAAGAATCATCCATTAATGCTAGTATAATTAAAAGAGAGAACCCGCATCAAAATACAAGCCTAAAATAATTGTGAAAATGATATCATGTTTATACTCCTATTTCTGAAAAAAAAAGTTAAGATCCAGAATGGCGCCTGTACTTAAAGACGAAAAAAGTTAATGCATTCTCGTATTTCCATATCCCCACAACATATGTATTCAAGCAATGAAAATAACAATATTTTTTTTCGTAAATGCTTGGCCATGAGGCCTTATGTAAGGGAAAAGTTTTTTATTAATAAAAATTTATTGAAATATTCGTTAAGATCCCTCTGGATCATGTATACCCTATAAAAAATTTGCATACGTTTTTTCATTATTATAAATAAGTTTAGTATACGTTTTTTGAAATTCCGTAACA